TAATCTCAGGGCTAGGATGAAAGAGACGTTACTGGGGCCTGCTCGAGGCAATCGACGAATAACAGGTAGTCTCCATCCGAATGTCCCAACACACAGCTCAGGTGCCTCTGGGGTCTGTGTCTTCCAGACTAGCATTCACTATAAAACAAGCACCGTAAGAAACAGTACTAACCCTATCAAATCGTGGTTTGGTGTTTGGGTATATATTTCTTGGCATTATCCAAGTTAGTAATATGTAATATCAAGTAGATGATGTACTCAGGAAAAAAATTCCTTTAAGTTTGTTTAAAAAATTTTTTGGGGGGCAGTGTTCGGAGCTTACTTCTTGCTCTGCACTCAGGGATCACTTCTAGTGACGCCTGGAGGAGACCATATGAGGTGATAAGGATTGAACCCAGGTTGGCTGCATGCAAGGCAAGCACCCTATTGCTGTATTCATCTTTACGGTCTTTACTGTAGCACTGTCCTCCCATTGTTCAACGATTTGCTCGAGCAAGCCCAGTAACATTGTGAGACTTGTTACTGTGTTTGGCATATCAAATACGTCATGGGTAGCTTGCCAGGCTTTGCTGTGCGGGCGAGATACTCTCGGTAGCTTGCCGGGCTCTCCGAGAGGGGCGAAGGAATCTAACTCAGGTCAGCTGGGTCAGCCGCGTGCAAGGCTCTACCCGCTGTGCTATTGCTCCAGCCCTACGGTCTCTAATTAAGGGTTTTCTTGTTTTTTGTTTTTTGGCATGGGCACTGCACTGGACTATGTCCCAGGCATGCAGAATATTAAAATGTTGCTTTATTTTTCATTTTCCTCTTATACTTTGCTTACTTAAAAATAGACTGCATATATAGCAAAACTTAAGTATTAGAAACTAAGACTCAAATCCCACCACCTAGAAGTAACAATTATACCATATCTTTCTTTTACAGGGAACAAATGCATAGAATTGAGCATGGACTACTCACAGTTTCATAATGGGGAACCAAACTTTTTGGCCACATGCAAGGCATGCTCTTAACCCCTATATTATGGATTTGGCCCTACACTCTACACATCTTTCTAACCTGTAGGATTTCAAAATATTTTAGAGGGCCAGGAGATAGCTCAAAGGCTGGAGCATATGTTTGCACGGGGGAGAGTCTGGGTGTGGTCCATGGCACTGCAGAGGCCCCATCTCAGCATTGCCAGGTGCAGCTTTGGAGGTAGGCTCCTGGGCACCACGGGGGTGGTCCTGGTGACTCCCCCACGACTGAGCCTGAATGATATCATAACACCGGCCCCAAGCATGAATCAGACTTGACCAATGGGCAGAGTTGTCCAGGGTTTCCTGACTGCTCAGGTGGCTCCCGAAATATTGAGGGGGCATTGGAGAGCTAGCTTAGTGGGCTGGGGGGCATATTCCATGTATTAGGTCTGGATTTGACTTCCAGAACCACATGATCCTCTGAGCACTGCCAGAGTGACTCCAAGCACTGGTCTGGGATACTTCAAGCATGACCAGGTATGCCTGCGAAACAGACAAAAGCCAAAAACAAATTTTTTTGAGTAGATAATATATGCATGTGATATAAAATACAAAAGGGGCAAAAGGGAATGGGGAAGATGGTTCAAAGGGATGAGGCAACTCTTCTGCATGCAGAAGTTCTGGTTTCCATTACTGGCCAAAATAGTATGACAAAATAGTACAGTGGGTAGCAGATTGACCTTGCACACAGCCGACCATCATTCTATCCTTGGCATCCCTTATAGATCTCTGAGCAGCACCAAGAGTGATTCCTGAGTGCAGAACCAGGAGTAACCCCTGAGCATTGCCAGGTGTGGCCCAGAAACAACCACCAAAAACAAGCGTCCAGGGCCAGGGCCGGTAGAACCTTGCACACAGCTAACCCAGGTTCAATCCCCAGCGTCCCATATGGTCCCCCAAAGCACTGCCAGAAGTAACTCCTAAGCATCACCAGCATCACCCAAAAAATAAATAAATGAAATAAAAGTGCCAACAGCTCCTAGTTCCCTCCATATGAAAGTGTAGTAGTTTGCAGAAAGTCATTTCCCCTGGTTAGAATGTGGATAAACAGACTGTCTTCAGACCTACTGTGAGAAACACAATGACAAATCACCTTTCTGGAAAGCAATTCTCAGTCTTCCCTAAGACTTTTTATAATCTTCATACACAAAGGCCTCAAGAAATATTTTATTTTTATTATTTTTAAAGTTTTTTATTGAATCATTGTGAGATAGATCCTTACAAAACGGTTCATGATTAGATTTCAGTCATACAATATTCCAACACCCATCCCTCCACCAGTGTACTTTTCCCAGCACCTGTGTCCCCAGGTTCCCTCCCATCACTCCCCACTCCCTATCTCCTGCCTGCCTCTATGGCAGGGCTTAAGAAATATTTTTAAAATCAATAATATAAACACAAAGATAACCACAGTATTACTAATATACCAAAAACTAGAAAAGTCAATGACATCATATTTAGTAAAGTGAAAAATGTACAAGACATACTAAATTTTGACAAGCAGGTTATGGGGATGCAGGGTTGGTTCAGTGGTTGGTTCAGAGTATCTGCCCTGCGGGCCTGAGGTGTCTTGAATTTAGGCACCTCTGTTGCTCTGCTGTGTCAGATCTCAAGCACCACAACAAAGTGTGCGGCCCTGAGCAAGCACCACCACTTAGACATGAGCGTGAGCCGCGTGAGCAACACATCCAAGTGTGTAAGCCCACAACCAACCCAGTCTGCACAACAATAATAAAGGGAAGGGGGAAGTTCAAATGGACAAATTCAGTTATGAATAGCTGAATTTCATTTTTGTTAAATGAATGTACCCATACACGTAATAATAGAAAAATAATTATCAAGCCATAAAGATGGTATAGGAAGTGAGGTGCTCGCCTTGCATGTTACTTTTTTTTTTGCTTTTCGGGTCACACCTGGCGATGCTCAGGGGTTACTCCTGGCAGTGCTCCAGGGACCCTATGGGATGCTGGGAATTGAACCCAGGTCGGCCGCGTGCAAGGCAAATAAATGCCCTACCTGCTTTGCTATTACTCCCGTCCCTGCCTTTCATGTTACTGACCCAGGCTCGAATCCTAGCACAGCATATGGTTCCGCATGGACATAGTGGTCCCTGAACACCATAAGTAATAGCCCCTAAATAAATAAATATTAAATAATATGTATCCTCACTAATCTAGTTAGTAAGGTCATATTTCTACAGTAAACATCTATAATTTTAAAATATTTTGTTATTTAAAATAGTTTTCATGTGATAAAATATTTTGATGTTTTTTAATAATGTAAAATAAATTTTTAAGTATGTAGTCAGTACACCTAAATTATATAAAGAAACAAATAATTAAATAATAACCCTTTTAAACCTTGGTAGACATGCACTGACATTAACTCTGTGGAGGGCAATTTGGAGCTCTCTAGTAAAGTGACAGAATCTTTGACTCAGCATTTCCATGTCTAGTAATGTACACTGTGGATTTACTTTATGTGTCAAGAGGTAGAGAATACATATACATGGAAGCACTGGTTATATTTATAGTAATAAATGCTGTTTTTTATTTTTGATATTAGAGTTCTGAATGTTTAGCATTTAAGATTAGTTAAATGATTTGTGAGTAAAAGGTAAGGTAAAGGTAAAGGCCCTCCCGTTGATCGTCGATTTGCTCGAGCGGGCCCAGTAACATCTCCATTGGAGACTTTTGTTGTTACTGTGTCTGGCATATCGAATACTCTCGGTAGCTTGCCGGGCTCTCCGAGAGGGGCGGAGGAATCGAACTCGGGTCGGCCATGTTGGCCGCTTGTAAGGCGAACGCCCTACTCGCTGTGCTATCGCTCCAGCCCTAATTTGTGAGTAGACCAGTAAAATAGAGTGTAGAATGTCATGATACTATTTTTAAAAATAAGGCAATGTGGGACATATCTCCAAGATACATTGTTGACTGAAAAAAGTTAGATGCAGGAGTGTTAGGGAATGCGACCATTTCTGAGGGGGACATCTATTCACATAAATATGTGCAGAAGCAAACAGCATGTCCTTGGTAACTGTGTTTGTCCCTGAAAGGAGGACTGGGAGGTAGAAGGGGAATCGTACCTCTTGCTGCCCCCCTTTTGTGGGGGCAATGTCCAAGTGATACTCAGAGGGCCTGGGGACATGGTGCTGCTCCAGCCCTTCGTGGTAAGGATTAGCTGATCACCCCAGCTCTGCTGGGGGCTTTCAGGGTTACACCTAGAGAAGCACAGGGATCCAACCAGGATCTGTCGCATGAAAGGCATGCACCTCGACTCCTACACTATCTCTCCAGTACCCCCGCCTTCCACCCCCATCCTTTCTCCACTTTTAAAGTAGATAGCATTCCCAGAGTTGCATCCAATTTCATCTTTAGGGCCAATAGATCATAAAGGATCATTTGGTTCTAGAAGGCATTCAATGTAATAATGACTAAGCAAAGTGGAGCAAGTTTGGGTGAAGAGAATCAAGAAGTTGATTGCTACCTAGTCACTATGGAGACAGTAATTCAGGCCTCTATCTGACAGGCGGAGGAACACTAGCTTGGATAATACACTCAAGATCTGTTCTGTCAAGATTTGACTTATGTAACGACCTCTGTGTAATAGCCACGTGTTCTCTGGGTCTGAGAATAAGAACATCTCAGCTTTCCTTAGTGCTGTCTGCATGCCAGATCCTTCTGTGTTTCAAGCATTATCTCTGAGCTGGAGCCCTCAGGTTTCATCCTGGTCATTCTTCTACACAGGCTCGCCATGCTTTGGAGCCACTGCTCTGTCTGGAGCTACTTTCCTGGACCATTAGCTTCCAACCACACCTCTCAGAGCACTTCACATCGGGTGTTAATTCTAAGACGTTGACTCGAGTGTTTTCAAGAGAAAGTGATTCCCATTTCCTTCCCTATTTTCAGCTTTGCCCAAAGGAGGGAGAGCTGAGATATTGGACATGAAAAATCTCTAAGAAAGTTCTCAGAACAGTCAGGGCTTCACTTCAGTGGTAGAGCAGATCTCTCACATATGTGAGGTCCTGATTCAGAACCCTGAAACCCTCTGCCCCATGACAACTTCCCCCCAAAAAGCAGTGTTTAGCACATGACCAGCACTTAAGCTCCTCAGCCAGGTGTCCTCCAAATGCAAGTGTGAGAGACTACAAAGATAAATGAAGGTGATCATGGTTGAACTAATGAAACATCCCACTCTGGCAATAGTGTAAAAATACTTTATTATTGCAACTGAAGTGGTTTCTGAGCACTCTTACACTCATTTCTAGTAAGAGCAGGCTCTGTGCTTGGTGTCTGACATCATTGTGTGATTACGCGATCACTTTCTCACAAGAACTTGCTGGTAGCTACTGTTCTCTCAGCTCAGTTTCTTTGGTGGTTACTGTGAAGAAGCTGGAGCCCGGGCAACCCAAGGGCCACCCGCCATGAGCAGAGCTTTGAGGTTGCCCCACTGGGGGCTCTTCTTTAGCTCAGGAGATGAGCTGGCTCCAGACCAGACTCTGGACTTCCTGGTCCTTTTCTCCTTGATTACTGGACTAGAAAAGTCTTCAGGATTCAGAGGAAGTGCAGAGAGTTGATTCTCATGTACCGGGAGAAGAGAACATAGAGGCGGCGGAACCAGAGGAGCTGACTGTGGTGGCAGGACATGGCTCTCTAGAAGGATTCAGAAGGTTGTTTCTGTTATTTTCTGTTCCACATTACTCCCATCTGACACACCCCTTTCCACAGCCTTCTCTGCCTTCTTTCTAGAACCAAGATAAGTCTCCAGTCCTATCTACCTAACCTCTCCCCTTCCCTTCTTACGGTCCTGTGATAACAGCAGGTGGTGGAACAGCATCTAAGCACTCAGTCTCAGGAGCACCTCAATTTTAATCACTCTGGAATCGAGTACTCTGTTACCGTGTTTCTTTTGTTACAGGTTATCATCTACAGCAGATGTAGACCTAAGACCTGGTACCCGCAGCTACCGAGTGACTCTGGAACCTAGAGTCTCAATTGCTGCTGCTGTTCCTGCTGCGGGTGATGGCGCCTCTTGAGCTCCATCCCTGGGCCTGGCCCTGGAGCCTGCATCCCTAATCTCTGTCCCAGTATCTCACATTGCAGCACATGCACATGCAGCACAGGTTTAAAGGGAAGAAAGCTGGTGTACTGGGCTCCTGTGCCACTGACTGAGGAAAGCTGGGGCAGTACAGTCACTTCTTAGAAGAATGAGCAGCTTGGCTGACAGTACAGTGAGTAGGGCTCTGGCCTTTGTGGTTATATCCTTGCCATCCCATACACTTCATATAACATAAGCCCTGACCACTACTGGCTATGCCCCCTGGAAAGAAAGAAAGAAAGAAAGAAAGAAAGAACAGTGCCTAGTGAAGGAAATAGCTATTAGTGTATTATTCAGATCTAGTGGTTTGTTTTTTTTAAAAAGGCAGATAGTAAAAACAGATTTGGCTAAATGTAACATCAATAAATGGTCTCCCTGAGTATCTGTTTTTCTCTACCATAACTAAATTATTTTATTTCTTCATTTATTTTTTGTTTATTTATTTATATTTTTTTGCTTTTTGGGCCACACCCGGCGATGCACAGGGGTTACTCCTGGGTCTGCACTCAGGAGTTACTCCTGGCGGTGCTCAGGGGACCATATGGGATGCTGGGAATCGAACCCGGGTCGGCAGCGTGCAAGGCAAACGCCCTACCCGCTGTGCTATCTCTCCAGCTCCATATTTCTTCATTTATTTATTTTCAGTGACATCTCATTCCTACATTGACAAACTGGCAGGCTACCAAATGTAGCCTGCCCACACGGCAGAGTCTGGCAAACTCCCCATGGCATACCCAATATGCCAAATACCAGTAACAATGATGGGTCTCATTCTCCTAAAGAGCCTTGAATATAATCTCAGGGCTAGGATGAAGCAGACGTTACTGGGGCCTGCTCGAGGCAATCGACGAATAACAGGATGATCTGTGATCTGTGATTTATTTTCAGTACCAGGGATGAACCCAGGGCCTCATTTGAGGCATTAGCTTTGCTGCTGGCCCACATCTGTTGCAAGGCAACTGCTCTAGTGCTGAGCCATAGCCTTGGACCCTAAAAACTTTACAGATCTATATATATATAAATCCATAGATCTCTAAATATATGGGTTTAGATTTAGATCTGTGAAAAGCTGATATCTATCAGCTTTAGAGCTGTATAAATATCTGTAATAACATACTTTGTATGATAGGGGCTGGAGCCATAGTACAACGGGTAGGGCGTTTGCCATGCATGTGGCCGACCTGCATCCTATATGGTCCCCTGAGAACTGTCAGGAGTGGTTCCTGAGTGCAGGGCCAGGAGTAGCCCCTGTGCATTGCCAGGTGTGACCCAAAATGCAAAAACACAAAACAAAACAAAAAACCCCATACTTTATATGATAGAGATCTAGGATATACTCAAGAAATATATTTTGTAGCATTCCTTAAACAGAAGATGCAACTAAATATTTTGTGGGAGATCACACCTGACAGTGCTTAGGCACTCCTCCTGGCTCTGTGCAGGAAGGTTGCTCTTTGGGTGCTCTGGGGACTATGCAGGAGTGGGAATTGAACACAGGCCTCTTGCTTGTGAAGTACATGCTCAGCTCAAAGGGTTACTTGAGCACAGAATCAGGAATAGCCCCTTTGCCCTGTTGAGTATGCCTGTCTCCCAAAGGCACAACCCCCAGTGGGTAGCACAACCAAAAGAGCATCTGAACATTGCAACCCAGGGCGCCACTCTGGTAGCACTTACACCTCAAGTATGATGCACTGTGACCAAATGTGATTGACCCCCACAGTCATTGCAACATCAGCATCAACAACAACAAACAGGATGGGGGGTGGGGCGGAGATGAAAGCCCCTGAATTTAGTGAGTCCCGAGGTCTAGCTAACAATGTTAAAACAGATGCTGAACCACTATGGAAGATCCTCGGTTAGGTCGATACAGAGGTAGTTTGGAGAAGCCAGAGGTTCTGGGAAGTAGATCTGGACTGGAAGTGTCCAGGAATTCACAATTCTTACCTTGGCACGTGCCACTTCTTCACTGGTGAGCACAAAGAGGACATCCTGGGTATGGCTCAGGGAAAAAGGCAGGTCCAGAAAGGAGATGTACTTGCGCAGCACATTCACTGACTGCAGTGTGAGCACAGAGCACCCTAAGCAGGAGGAGAGGAGCAAAGTCGGGTTACTCCCAGGCTTGTTTCCTCCCTGAACATCCTACTCTGTTGGGGCACACACAAAGCAGGACAAGGCAGCCACCATGGAGTTGCCAAAAGGTGACTCCATGCACTGAGCTGTTCTTTGCTCATTGATCTCAGTCTGGAAGGATAAATTCCTGCCTGCCTGCTCTCTTCCTGCTAGCAAGCTAGTGGGTTGGTGGAGGTTGGAACCTGGCTACCTCAAGGCCAACGGCAAAGGGACAGAGACTGAAATCGCCAGGGACCTGGTTCCTGCTGTGTCATTGAAAGTCTGACACTTGTGAAAGCTGCTAACCTTTCTAAGTCTCAGTTTCTTAACTGAGGGTTTTGAGAGGGGCCAAGGATGCACCTCAGGTATGGTACTTGCCTCACATGTATGAAGCCCTGAGTTTGATCTCTGGCATTGAAACAAACAAACAAACAAACAAAAATAGGAGTTAAATAAAATAACAGCATCTGGAGTGTGGGATGTCTCTCTCAAAGAGAGACCTAAGGACCAAATGATTTACAATCTTGTTCCAAGGATTCAGCATGGAAAGCTCAATAAGTCCACACAGAAAGTGCATATGATACTTATGTCTACATTCATCATCTCACTCCTGTGAGGGCTGCGTGTTATCTCCACTGGCTGGAGAAACTCCACATATGTGTCCTTCAGTAAATGGCTGATTGAAGATCAAATATCTTCCCCTGAATAAGGAGGAGGAAAATGCTAATTTAGGTGATGAACCACCAGAAGCTACCCAAGCCTACTACTTAACTGGGGAATGGAATTTGAGTTTGGATGGACAAACTGTAAGAAGTAGAGTGGTGGAAATATCTATCCCCCCTTTTTTTTTTTGGTTTGTTTATTTGTTTTTATTTTTGGTAGGTGTACACACAACTAGTGGTGCTCAGAGCTTACTTCCGGCTCTGCACTCAGGGATGACTCCTAAAGGTGCTCAAGGGATCATATAGTATTGCAGGGATTGAACTGGGACTTGCTCTGTGCAAGGCAAGTGTGCTAGTAACTGTACTATTGTTTGAACTGTGTTTCTAGGTGTGTTTGTGAAGGTGCTTCTGAATGGGATGAGCATTTGATGGTGGGTTCAGAGAAGCAAACTGTTCTCCCCAAAGTGGATGAGCATCAGACAGTCTGCTGAGGTCCTGAATGAAATCAAATCAGAGGAAGACTTTGCTTCCCCAAGTTCCCACCCCTTCAGTGCCAGGGATCTAACCCATTTGCTTCATACATATAAAAGCAGGTGCTCTACTTGTGAGCTACATCTTCTGCTCTTTGGCTGGCTTCTTTTTTCCTTTTTTTTTTTTTTAACTTTTGGCCATACCCAGCAATGCTCAGGGGTTACTCTAGGATATGCACTCAGGAATTACTCCTGGTAGTGCTTGGGAGATCATATAAGATGCTGGGGATTGAACCTGGGTCAGCTATGTGCAAGGCAAGTGCACTATCCAATGTACTATCTCTCTGGCCTCCTTCCCTCCTTCCTTCCTTCTTTCCTTCCTTCCTTCCTTCCTTCCTTCCTTCCTTCCTTCCTTCCTTCCTTCCTTCCTTCCCTCTTTCCTCCCTCCATTCCTTCTCTCTTTCCTTCTCTTTTTCTTTCTCAACATCCAGCACTGCTGAGGTGCTGAGATCAAACCTGGAGCTCCTGCAATGCCAACCATGCGCTCCCAGTCTGGGAGCAATATCTCCAGCCCTGGCTTCCTGAACTGGGCTATTGGTCATCTCTAGTTCTTGGACTGGGAAAACTAAGTTTACACTATAGACTCCCAGGGATTTGGAATCTGATCAAATTGCATCTTCAGCTTCCCTGGGTCTCCCACTTGCAGACAGCAGAGAATTGGATTTCTCATGCTCCATCACTACACGAACTGATTCCATATTGTGTGATACACACTGGACACAGAAGAGGAGAAGAAAGTAATCTATGTGTAGTTAAGGAAATCATATAGATTATATGGGTTACATGGAAATCATCTCTAACTGGCTCTGTTGGGGAATCTGACTAGCACATCTCCTCCCTTCACCCCAGGATTGCACTGGCTGGCAGAGCACTTCCCAGTGTACACAGTCTGGGCACCTCCCCTGAGACACACTGAGGGTCAGGAAGTGTTTCCTCTCCTGGTCATTTCTGCATAGTCAGAGGCAGCTTCTCTATTTAAGCATTTTACCTTAATCTCTCTCTCTCTCTCTCTCTCTCTCTCTCTCTCTCTCTCTCTCTCTCTCTCTCTCTCTCTCTGTCTCTGTCTCTCTCTCTCTCTCTTAATCTATGGCAGTTCATACTGCCCAACAGAAACCACTCTCTCTGTTGAACAGTATCAGTTACTTAGAGATGACGATGGCCCAGTCGTTATTGCTGTGGGAGGAGAACTGCACACACGGGTTGTTGGGACCGGGCAGTAGTGCCTCAGCGTCTTCTGGAAGATGCTCTTTCTGCAAGTCTGGTGTGCTTGAAGAGTGTCTCTCTTTTTCTTATTGGGACTAACAGGGGCTAACTGTTCCACAGCCAGTAGTCTGGGAATGGTAGTGGTGGTGGCAGTGGCATGAGGGCCACAGATTAGACTCAGGGCCTCGCATATACTCGGCCCCTGTTTTACCATTGTAACTGTTGACCGACTCCCCAATAATTATCTTAAAGAAACAGTAGGCTTTACAATAGAGACTTATAAAAGGCCTTACCTTTAGGTAACTTCCCTTCAGAATGCAAGGACCTGGAGGAGAGAAAGGATGAGTGAAAAAATCATTTTTGTTTTTTTTCTTTTTTCTTTTTGTGGGGGGAGCCATACCTTCAGTGCTCAGGAGACCATGGGGTACTAGGAATAGAACCAAAGCTTCCTGCATGCAAAATATGTGCTCCAGTCCTTTGAGCCACCTCCCTGGCTTCTTGGTAGTTCCTTTGCAAAGTCACCATAGAGCTTTCTGGACTCTATGGCTCTGGCTAGGGCTGAAGTGACCAGGATGGGTCACTTTTCAAGGGGCATCCATCAGGAAGCTAGCAATGGCTTTATGCATCCATTATGAAGCACTCTGCTCCAAGTTTTGTCTAATAGGTTACACTTTGTTCACTGGTGACACTGATCACGCAAAGTTTTCTTTTGTGAAACTGTAATGTGAGTATGGTGAAAGAATATTAGAAAACATTAAATTACTTTGGGCTGGAGAGATAGTATGAACCACCAGAGTGATCCCTGAGTGCAGAGACAGGAGTAAGCCCTGCAAACCACTGGGTGTGGCCCAAAAATGAAAAAGAAGTTTTTTTTAAAGTTAGTTCTTATAGTTTTCTTTCTCCTTTTTATGTTTTCTATACCTACCATCTACTGTGTGTATTCTCCAGGCTGTGTGTATTCACTGCCTGAAGAAGGCTGTGTGTATTCACTGCCTGAAGAAGGGGGAGGAGTGGAGGGGAAGAAGGTAGCCTCCTGACTCCCTAACACAGATGCACAAACTCATAGGAAATGGAACTCCTGGGTGTAAGTGGTTAAAAAGAGAAAAACTGACAAATCTATGGGCTTGAATGAAGGCTGAGAAATAGGAAAAACCTCAAGAATCCCAAGATCAGAGTGATGTGCCTCATGCTTCTGGTGAAACCTGGAGATGTTCTGAGTTTAAGGCCATCAGGGTCTCCAAGGAAAGATCTGGACACGTGGGATCTTAATATGATGGGGAGAAGGAGTGCTGAACACACTTGGGGGGCATCACACTTTCACACTTAGAGTGAAGGAAGAGTCTGCATGGAGTTGAGCTGGCAGGGGGAGTTGGGAACAGGAACATGGAAGGGTCTTTGGTGGAAGAAGCCAGGAGGAGACTAAAACATGGCCAGAAGGGCTAGAAGAAGGACAGTTCTGTGGAAGCGATGTGAAGTGAGTGACCTGCTGTAATGGTCAGAGCTCAAGTTGATTCATCTCAAGCACATGACTCATCAGTGCACAGTGAGGAGCCAGTGTTTACAGTCTGGGGTATTCCACCCTCTTCCAAGGAAAACAGTCCAAAGCAGTTTTGTCAAAATGAAGTTGTTCTTAAGCTTCTTTTCAGAGATTGAAGTTGTCCTGGTTTCACCAAGTTCCAAGATGGGGCAATGGAGGAAATTCAGCTAAACCCACCTCAAGTGGTCCCAAAGCGTGCCTGTGAGGTTCTCTTGGTTTGTCTGTAACAGGCCAGTCTATAGCCATGAGTGAAAATACTAAATACTGAGTGAAAAATGACAAGACCCAATGTGCACTCAGAATTGGGTGGATTCTAGTCCTCCTGGGATCTCTGTTCACTGCCTGGCAAGCTACCTGTGATGTATTCGATATGCCAAACACAGTAACAAATCTCACAATGGAGACGTTACTGGGCCCGCTCGAGCAAATCGATGAACAACAGGAGGACCGTGACCGTGACTGTGATTTTAGAAATCTAAGGCTTTCCTCCTGGGTTACCTCATCGTCTATATACCTGACCAAAAAAAAAAAAAAATCACCTGGGGTGTGTGTCTTTTTCTGAATCTGAAAGGACCTAGTCCCACAAGCAATCTTTCTTCTTGCTGTGTGGTCCCCGGGGGCAGTTAGTTCAGGAGAGAATTCCTGCTTCCTCTCATTCCACTGTCAAGGGAACAGAAAGAACTCTCTGGAGTGTACGAATAACAATGTCTAGCACTTTCCCAGTGACATACAATTATTTTTTTTTAACTTTTTTTTTATGTAGGAGTACTGCTACATATTCAGCCACTGATTAGCTAATTGAATTGGCATGAACTCCAACCTTACTTTTTTTTTCCCATTATTTTATAATTTTATTTGTTGAATCACCGTGAGAGCAGTTACAAAGCTTTTGGGTTTAAGTCTCGGTCATACAATGAAACACCTGTACCTTCACCAGTGCCCATTCTCCACCACCAAAAACCCCAGTATACCTCCATCCCAGTATACACTCTCCCCCTACCTGTGGAGCAGATGATTTCCACATTACTCTCTAATTTGATCACATTCAATATTTTGACACCAGACCCACCATTATTATTTGGGATTTTACCCCAACACTCAGATCTGCTGAAAAGGCAACAGTAGACAATTTGTTTTCTATTGCTGGTTAAGAATAACATATGATGTTGCATGCTGCAGTAGTGACCACGCAGTTTTGAAATTCCGAAGTTCAGAAGGTCCTTATACTACTGGAGTAGACCTCTCACACAGCAGATAGGAAAACGAGGGCTGCTGCAATAGTATATTGGGGAGGACATTTGCCTTGCATGCAACCAACCCGGGTTCAATCCCCGGCATCCCATACAGCCCTCTAAGCACCGCCAGGAGTAATTCCTGAATGCAGAGCCAAGAGCCCCTAAATATTGCTGGATGTGGATCCAACCCACTGCCCTCCTATTCCCCCCAAAGAAAATAACTAGGACTCAGGACTCCTGGATTTTTGTTCTCTGCCATCATACAGTCTGGTGTGCTGGGGAAACCACTTAACTTCATCACTGAAATGAGATGCTTGGACTTCAGAAGAGAAAGGTGAGGTTTTTCCAATTTCACATTTCACTATTCCAGACCAGAAATGAATGTAGCCTTGTAAAAGGAATTTTATAAAGTAAGCCCTTCACAAGTTTCCCTTCCCTACATCTGTTCTTAGGCCAGTTCCAATACATATCTGTTGACAGTGCTCTGGGGAGGCATTTCTCTGGATAGGAATGTGGCATATGTTTGGGTGACCCTCAGTCACTCATATCTTAGAGGTTTACATCCATCTGTGCTTAGGGAGACCATGAGGTGCTAGGGAGGGAACCCAGGGTTCTAGCATGCAAAGCATAAGCTCAGCCTTTTGAGTGATCTTTTCAGTTGAGGGTACATTATTCTTTAAACTGGTAAAGCGTATTTATAGAGACTGCGAATAACAAATGAAATATTATATGTATTTTTTATTATGTAAATATTATATATCCTTTCCCCAAGAAATACTTGAGATAGTGTATAAAACATACAACAGAAGAAAACAAAGTAAATGTGGCTAAAGGAAGAAAAAAAATTGAGCCAAGAAAAGGCACATTTATTCACAGAACTCAATTTTTATAGTCTTGCACATGTGCAACATGGAATTGAAAACTTGATCCTAAAAGTTTTCTAAGGTCAAAGCAATGAGAAAAATAAAATCCATTTGTCTTGCCTGTGAGGTTAAAAACTGTAACCATTTAGGAGATGAAACACTAATAAGACTCAAGATTTCTTGTGGGGGGGCTGAAAAGTATAGCAGGTAAAGAGCTTGCCTTGCATGTGACCCCCCCAGCATCCCAGACAGTCCCCCAATTCCATCAGAAGTAATTCCTGAGTGCAGAGCCAGGACTAACTCCTGAGGACTAACCCCTGAGCATGGGCCCCATGTGGCCCAGAAAACAAACAAAAGATTTCTTGCAGGGAGGATATGGTGAGATGTAGTGATCACCTTAGTCCCAATGTTGACTTGCAACAATTCAATAAGACGTTTCTTGGGGCTCAGGTAAATGTGTGGGAAAGTGCTTTAGTGACCATCCAGCCTGAGAAAATGAAAAAAATCCCCTCTCCACTCCCATACAGAGGATCCATACCTCACAGCTGTATACAGAGCAATGTGATTGTTGTGGCCGCTCACTCCCCTTGCATCAAAAGTCACCACCTGCAGAGAAATACATGGCTTGTTTTCATTTCTGTGTGTTTTCTCCTATTTACTTATTTCTTTTTATTTGGTTTGGGGGCAACACATGGCAGTCCTCAGGGGTTACTACTGGCTCTGTCTTCAGGGCTCACTCATGACAGGCTTGGGGGACCATATAGGATGCTGAGATCAAAACCCGAGACTGCCAGTGCAAGGCAAGTGCCCGACCTGCTGTATGATCACTCTAGTCACTAATTTTTGTTTGTTTGTACTCTCTCTCTCTCTCTCTCTCTCTCTCTCTCTCTCTCTCCCTCCCTCCCTCCCTCCCTTTCTCTGTGTATTTGCAATTTTTCTTAACAGGAATTAATCTACAGGTTTTTTTTTTGTATAAATCTTTCACCTCCTTTGTCAAATTGATTCTCAGGCACTTGACATTTGAGGTACAATTGTAAACGGTTTAAAAATTTATTTTCTTGGGGCTTGAGAGGTAGTATAGCAGGTAGGGTGCTTGCCCTGCGTGCAGTTGACCCAGAGTCAATCCCTGGCATCCCATATGGTCCCCCAAGCACCACCAGGAAGATTCCTGAGTGCAGAGCTAGGAATAATCCCTGAGCATCACAGGGTGTGGCCCCCTGCCACCAAATTAAAAAAAAAAATTTAAATCTTTCTTTTCTTTCTTACTTGAACATAAAAATTTAACTGATTTCTGAATATTGATTTTGTAGCCTGACTGTATTAAATAGATTTATTGTTTCTAGAAGATTTTTGGTGGAGTTTTCACGATTTTCTACCATGTCATCTGTGTATAGGGATAGTTTGATTTCTTTACCAATTTGAATCCCTTTCATTTTTCTTTGTTGCCCAATTTCTGTGGCATGGATTTTCAGTTCTATATTGAATAATTTTTGTCTTGTCCCTGATCTTAGAGGACAGGAAAGGCTTTCCACCACTGAGAATATTAGCTGTGGGGGGCTGGAATGATAGTACGGAGAGTAGAGTGTTTACCTTGCATGTGGTCACTCTGGGTTCGATCCCAGCATCACACACATTCAATCCCTAAGCCCCACCAGGAATGACCCTTGAGCACAGAGCCAGGATTAAAGCCTGAGCACTTCTAGGTGTAGTCCCCGAAGAAAAAGCATATTAGCTGTCGGTTTGTGATATATGCTATTTTCTATATTAAGGAAACTTCCTCTATCCCCATTTTCTTGGAATTTTTTTATTATCATAAACAGGTGTTGGTTCTTGTTGAATGGTTTCTTTGTACCTGAAAAAGATTAACATAATTAAAATGACAATCCTACGCAGAGTACTATACAATTCCTGTTGGCATTATCTGTGAGTGTGTGTGTATTGCTCAGGATTGAACCCAGGTCCCCTCAGGTCCCCTCACAGACAAGGCTCTATCATTGAACTGTATCTCAGACTCTATCCCCTATAGCATTCTTTAAGGACATGGAAAAAATACTAATAAAAATTATATGAAGTAATAAAGCTTCCCAAAATATCCAAAGTGGGGATGGAGCGATAACACTGTGGGTAGGGCATTTGCCTTGCACGTGGCTGACCTGGGTTTGAATCCCAGCATCCCATATGGTCCCCCAAGCACCACCAGGAGGATCCCTGAGTGCATGAGCCAGGAGTAACCCCTGTGCATCGCCGGGTGTCACCCCCAAAAAAGAAGAAAAAATATCCAAAGCAACCCTGAGGAAAAAAAGAAGACAGGAAGCATTTCTTTCTCTGACTTTAAGTTATAGTGCAAAGCTATGGTAATCAAAACTATGTGGTACTGAACTAACGGCAAATTCTCAGAACAACAGAAAGGATTGAGAGTCCAAAGTTAAACCTTCAACTTTGTGAATTTAATCTATGACAAAGGAGCTGGGTACATGAAGTGGAGCAAAAAGAAACACTTCAACAAATGTTGGTGGGAAGACTGATCAGCCACAAACTAAAAATATTTGGATTCTTATCTTACAACATACACAAATGTTAATTCAAAATGGATTACCAATCTTGACATTAGACCTAAATCCACACAATACATAGAGGAAAAATGGGTAGAATTCTACATGATATTGACTTCAGAGGTATCTTCAATGATTTGATGCCATGGGGTAGGAAAATTGAAGCAAACAGACAAACAAATGGGACTATATCAAACTAAAAATTTCTGCACTAGGAAAGAATAATGACAAAATAAAAAGACTTCTTACTTCACACATCTGGCTAATCTATTTATAAATCTTATTATCTAATGACCTTCTGCTTACAAGGCATGCAGCCCAAGGCACTGCACCATTTTGTCTGGCGCTTTTATAGCATATTAACACTGCTATATAAGAAGACTTTACAAATTTGCATCTTAGCTGATACTGTCCATTTTGTTGCATCTTTACAAAAATAAAAAGTTTCAAAGTAGACGTGAGTTATCCAGAGATGCCACACAATGTATTTTATCTCTGAAGATTCTCTTGGACTGAAGAGAGGATAGTGTATAAGGCTTGCCTTACAAGCAAATACAGGGCAAAAATTATCATATCATTGATACATTAATAAACTTGGTTTTCTCATACTTAGTAACCAAATATTCCCCCCCCCCCCTTTTAGTTTGTTTTTTTGGGCCACACCCAGAACTGCTCAGGGGTTATTCCTAGCTCTGCATTCAGGAATTATTCCTGGTGGTTCTCCCCAGGGACAATATGAGATGCCAGGGATTGAACCCAGGTTGGCCATGTGCAAGGCAAGCACTCTACCTACTGCACTCTCTCCAGCCCCCATATATTTTCCTTTTGTATCATTTCTGTGTGAATCCTTCCTTCACACAGAAAAGCGCCTGGCAAACTACTGAGAGTATCCCACCCGCAAGGTAGAGCCTGGCAAGCTCCCTGTGGCGTATTCGATATGCTAAAAACAGTAACAAGTCTCACAATGGAGACGTTACTGGTGCCCACTTGAGCAACTCGATGAATAACGGGAGGAGAGTGCTATAGTGCTACAGTGCATTATCTAAGATTTATAAATGACCCACAAAACTTAACAACAAAACAAACAACCCTATCAAAAATGGAAGGAGACACTGAACAGATACTTCCTGACAGAAAACATACAAATGGTAAAGACATTAACAATGAGTACTTTTTTTTTTTTTTTTGCTTTTTGGGTCACACCCGGCGATGCTCAGGGGTTACTCCTGGCTCATGCACTCAGGAATTGCTCCTGGCAGTGCTCAGGGGACCATATAGGGTGCAGGGAATCGAACCTGTGTTGGCCATGTTGGCTGCGTGCAAGGCAAACGCCCTACCCGCTGTGCTATCGCTCCAGCCCCAGACATTAACAATGAGAATGGCATACATCAGTCACAAAGAGTAGGAAAACAGTGCTGGAGGAATGTGGCAAAATAGGAAGCTACATTCACTGTTTGTGGGACTGTCATCGTGATTAGCCTTTGTGGAAAACAGTATGGAGATTCTCAAAAAATTAAGAATAGATTTTCATATAACTCAGCAATTTCATAGCCCAGCATCTACCCTACAAATATAAAATTTGAATTTTTTGAAATGATATTTGCATTCTTGTGTCACTTCTGTGCTATTCACAATAGCCAAGAAACAACCACAGTGCTCAACAATGTATGACTGGATAAAGAAATTATGTGTGTGTGTGTGTGTGTGTGTGTGTGTGTGTGTGTGTGTGTGTATGCCCAATGGAATATTCCTCAGTTATTGAAAAGAGAAGATGTAATCTTGCAGGTCACTGCAACTTGATTGGTAATGGAGGATAGAATGCTGAGCAAAATGAGTGAAAAAGAGAAAAGGAAAAATACTGAATGATCTTACTCATATGTGAACTATAAAAAAAATTATAATAGGCCCTGAGAGTCTGTGTGTAGAACTAAGTGGGTGGAAGTATGGAGATGAGAAGGGTCTTAGAGATAACAATAGTGGAGGGATGTTGGTGTTCTGATGGTGGGTATCCCAATGTAGGATAACATTAGTTTGTCCTTTCTCCCTTGCTACAGGGAGCTTAGGTTTATCAGGTTACACCCATCACAGTGCTCCAGAGTCACTCCCATTCCTCTGTGCTTATCCGTAACTTCTCTGTGCTCTCTTCCCCAAACGGTCTATCACCTTTTCCCCCTAATCAGACTCCGCTAACTTGTAAGGTCAGATCCTTCTAGGACACTGAACTTGTATTGTAAGTTAATATTGCCTTTCTTCTCTCCTTATGTCTTTTGAATAGTTTACTTTAAAGCAATGTCATATTTATATGAACAAAGGAAGACAGTTAATATTAAGCTTTTTGTAACTTGGAAGTAAATTGCCTCCAAACAATCTGCACTTTGGGGTATCTGCTTCCTCGACTTAAGTCTCAGTTGCCCTTAGTTCCTAATGCCCCAAAAGCAGGGTCCTGACAAGGGACTGAATGGACCTAGGGCAAGCAGTGAGCTACCCTGGCATCGAAATGGGCCAGGCAAAGCACCATGATACTAAACTATAAGTTGAGAGCATGGTCATGGACAAATGCTGTCATGATCCAAAAGTAACGACGAGATTAGGACCCTGCTAGGGATAGAAAAGATTAATCTGGCCTGAGCACTGTAGTCTGAGATTGAGATGACCCCAGGAGAGCAATTCTATAAGCCTATATATCTCATACTGTGCCCATACAAAATGATTACTATTATGAATGTATGTTTGTTGGACTAAAGAAAAGAGAAATCACCCATAATTGGAATTTCAGTTTTGGGAGAGCCCTCTTGCTGGGTGAGAATCTGTCCTAGAAGAATCTTCCCCTGAGGGAAGGACTTTATCCCTATTGATTGAGACCACACCTATGTATAAGCCCCAACCCCTCATGCTTTGGGATTTAACTAGGCTGTAAGGGGGAGCTGGGGGAGCCATAAGGAGAAAGGGAATCCAGAGCCAGGAGGAGACTGAAGGGGGATCAAGAAGGAGAATGAAGTAGCATGGGGAAGGGAGAAGCAGAAGGAGAGACAGGAATGAATGGAGATGAGATGA